CTCTTTGTCCGAAGTGGAAAGATCCAGAAATATTTTCCTTTTATACTTTTCTATCACTTGTTTCTATATTTGTCTCAAAGCATTCATGGGAAATGAAAACCTCTTGTCTTGATCATCAATAAATCTCTATATTTGTTAAGATTGTTCGATTGAGTCGAGTCATCCAGCAGGTGCAAAGCATTGTTAGATACTGAATAATTTGTTCTCTAGTACCGACAGTATTATGTTAGAAAATCATACATACTCACAGAAAAGGGTAAGAATAGATTTTAATGAGTAATAAAAGAAAATATCATTACTGGAAATGCCTAATAATGGACAGGTTGCTTTCCGTATAACTTTGGTTATGTTTTCTTAAACTAATACTTCTATTGCCTTTTTTACGACATTTTGATTATTACGGATTTGATAAACTTTTATTCGTATGCTGAAAATGTTAGAACTCTCGTACTATGCATATAGATGTCGTTTGTTAAGGTCTTTTTCTTTGATGTTCGTACGAAAAAGCTCAGTGTTTGATCTAAAAGTTTGTATCATAAATCAAATTATTTTTCACACTCTTCTAAAAGTTCTTTCCTTATTATTATTAATGTGGAAACGTCTTAAATGGACGTAAAAATTTACTTCCTAAAAGCATTAATTTTATAACAGTTCTATGAGTAGGATTAGAAGATTTTGAACAAGAAATAATTTAAACGTTCAATTTAACTGGAAACCTTGATTAGATTAAAGTTCCGCAATGATAAATTTTCACGTGACACATTCAAGTGTTTGATATGAATTACAACTTTTAGAAATTATTTAAAATATAAAACATCTATAATATCTTTTATATAAGATAATTTGAAACTATCTCAAAAGAAAAATTAATCGCATCCGGCTATTATTTAAATGTCAATGTTCAAAAAAGTTGTAATTTTACAAATAAAATATTTGGCACTTAGGAGAGAGATTTCTCAACCTATCTTGAAATCATCGGATTCTTTAGTGGCGAGTGGCAATGATGTAGTGACGAGATGTCGCAAGACTCTTGTTGCTCTATCGCTATTTCCATGGAGAATGTTCAAAGGAACTACACTCTTTAGTTCCACCAGTCCTAATCTTCACAGCAAGAACCTACCATGCCACGCACATCGTAGTTAACTACCCTTATTCCATTCATATTCCTTTGGTGAGTTGCAAGTTACACTTGGGTAGCTTCTTCCCACAAACCACTGTCGCCTTGTGGAGTCGATTTCCTCAGTACAATCTTAACTTGTTCAAGTCTAGGGTTTACCATTATCTTCTACAGATATCTGCATAAGCTGTACCTCTTACTTTGCAACCTTCTACCTTCAGTGGCACGCGGGCCTTGTGCAGGTGAACATCATTGTAAAAAAAAACAATTCTAAAGGTTTTGATGTTGGCTTAAAATGTTAGCATGATTTCATATTCCATGAAATAAAGACAATCTGTGTGAATGTTAAGAATACAAATATGATGAAAATTGTAGCATCAAATTTTGGAATATTGCCAAAAATATTTTTTCTCTCCCCATTATTCATTGTTCTTCCTCATTTATGCTTAGGCTTCACCGATGGGCATTTTTAAAAGCTAAAACCCGTGTGTCTTGCTGACGATCATACACCATGAAAAAAGTAATAGAAATTGATTCTTATTACTATATATAGTTATTAACTGGCTAATTATTAAATATCATTAACAAGTCCCTTGCTAAAAATATTGTAAATAATTACAATTCAGTATTAATAACATACTTGTCTCCAGTCAGAGAGACAAGCTGCGTGGTTAACAGGCCTTTGCTTAGCATAGACTTGATCTTGATAGATATCTACAGGGTCTTCCAAAAGTCACACTACCATTGATAACCTTGTAAATTTTATATCTATTTACAAATGGAATCATGTTTCTGTATTATTAAGAAATTTTATTGGTCGAATTATAGAAGATGATGTCATGCAATTTTTTTCTGTTTGCTATTTCACAAGTGTACGTCGTTTTCTGCCAATTCTCGCGTGACTTTTGGAACACCTTGTATGTGTTTTCATTAAAGCAAATATTCACTTTCTGTAAATCGGTTTTAGACGCAGACTCCTCAAATTATTTAACATTATACAACGGTTATTAATGTAGCAAGATATCTTCAGATAAAATTATATTTCCGTAGAAAAATGCATTAATCTTATATATTTAAGAGTTTGTGTTTGGTAGGGCATAAAATATGCCAACTTCATTCTTTGCAGTGGAATAACCCCTCGTCCCACAAAAAATAGGGTTCACCTACCGTGGGGATGCCTGAAGTTTCAAGTATGAACGACCAATATTTGTGTACCGACTCGCGTATAATTAAAAAAAAATGATTTCGACATTAAGTAATGCGGCAAGTGTTATATGTCTACAATCAACCGACCCAGTTCACGTAACTTGCAATTCACATGCAAGCAGTCATAGTTCGTAGCTGAATTTTAATTTGAATTTTTCATTATATCTTGATAATTTTATGTTATCTATTAAGTAGAATTAAGGAAGAGAATAATGTTGAAAAATGAATATTTGTTGCGTAAAAGAATGAATAGCTGAATTTCGTAATTAAACTAGGAAACTTGAGGATTCTTACTCGCCCGATATGCTTTTTTGTATTTTCTATCGTTCTTTTAAATATACAATCATAGATACAACTGAATGTATTTTATTTCTAAAGATAAAACTAATTGAATGATAATATTGTCTTTTTTAACTGAAATTTTCTTCCATGTTGATTTTTTTGTTAACGCTTATATGGGAATAGCGGAACTTTGTAACTAACCAACAGCAGACTTAACAGCAGACAAACACAGTACAGACAAAACAGACGGTAAGTTAACCGGTCGAAACGCTGTGTGCAGGTGGGAATTAAGACAATGCAAAATACTGAATATAAACAAAAAACTTTTTTGTCATTACGCTACATGCATATTAACAAGTCTCTGTACAAATATGCGAAATGCATGACAGATTTACAAAAACATTTGAAGATTACAAACACGTATTTATGGCTTATTATATTTTAGTCGCACAAGCGATTTTATACTATTAATAATTTACACCTTAAAACTACTGACTTTTAAACAGTATAATATCAGTTAAAATCTTAGTACGTTATTTGTTTCTTTATACTAGGCAAAAAATTTGCACACATTTCTGGATGTAGCTTTTCATACTTTCATATTAACCTTTTGAGCCCTGCGTTTCTGGACAATTTTAACCCTTCTGCCTGAGCTCCTGAGTTAAAATTCGCAAATAATTGTTATATAATGTTTCACAGTAGATATAAAAATAGCTACAAGTGTTTACCCACCGTTCAACCGGTAGCTGAGCATTAAGTCATTTTTCTCTACCACTGTTCAACCAGTGGCTGGACATTACACCATTTTGCTCTAACACTTGTAAAGCGATGGTCAGTGCTCAAAGAGTTAAATGTTGATTTTTGTTAATTTATCTTGCTCGCATTTACCGATTAAAATACCGGGTGATAAATAATCAATTTTCCCTAGAAAATATTGTCTCAGACGAAAGTGAAAGGGGCAGTGAATTTATGGACTAACATCAGACTCGACACCAGACAGAATTTCATTTAAAAACAAACGGTGAGGTAACTGGTCGAAATGCTGCGGGGGTCTGGACGACACTTAAGACGCAAAGTCTCCAAGAAAAGCAAAGATAGAAGTGACAAATAGATTTCTATGTTTCATGCGATTAATACTTGATATAACTATTTGTACTGATCCCTCGCTTTCTTTCTCCGAGTGACATTAAACTTAGTGTCATTTTGTCATGCTATTAAATCGTATCGATTTTTATTACCTCTTAGTCTTTAAATATGGCTTCTACCTTCAGATTAATAGTGTGCCTATTTGGGGATGAATGTTTTAAGATAAGTAATTCTTTTGCTCTACCCCACTCAGAAGACTCACGTAACCTTCTGCCCAGAAGATTTTCTTCAGTCAAAAGGAGGAACTCTGAGAACAATCGTTTATGCCAAAAAGCATTCGCAAATAGGAATATTCTGCATCTGGATGTAGGCGAAAAAAAAGGTGGAAATGTCTCGAGTGTCAGTCGTTTGTTAAACTGCACCCCACTTGCAAATGTTTAACTGCACCCCACTTGCAAATGTTTAACTGCACCCCACTTACAAATGTTTAACTGCACCCCACTTGCAAATGTTTAACTGCACCCCACTTACAAATGTTTAACTGCACCCCACTTGCAAATGACACGTAATTATTTAGAATTTTACAGGGTCTATTAATTTAAGACTAAGTTAGTTAAGTGACATAAGGTGCCGTTTCTTCCTGCGGTAGGCTGGTTGGCAACCAAGGATGTGGAAGCCAATCTGTCCTGCTATTCAACCCATAGCTGTGAGGAGAAGAGATGGATTCATATATTTCCCAAGGGTATTTGTGCATAAGTGAATATAACGAACCTGACTGGAATTCGAACTCGGCTCTCCGATTTCACATGCCGAGCCGTCAGGTTGCTAAATTCGTCTTTTTATCCTTTTTTTTCTTTCTCTTTAGGACATAACTTATCATGATTCTCAACAGATTACTTTTCTTTATTTTCTCTAAACTACTATGTGTTATTGAGAAAGATAGTGGAATGGTTCCCCATTAACTCTCCCCAGTTTTGAATTCAGAGTTCTCCTCCACTTAAACTGATTGCCATCCAAGGCTAGAGAGCCCAATCTTCCCTGTTATTTAACTTAGAGAATGGACGGTTCATGCTTTTTCCAAGGGTCTTAAAGAGTAAGAAGGAACACTGAGAAGAAGCGATAAAGTCACACAGCATTGGAAAATCTGAATATAAATACCATTCCGTATATGTGTAGGAGGAAAAAATATGTAGGAGGAAAAAATGAATAGGTAGAGAAGATAGCTGTTAACCCAGACTATAATTCATACCTAGCTCACTCATTTTTCATTCCGTACCGTTATCCCACACACAAGGGTAAATTCCATTTGTATTCCCATGCGGTCACCCAACTTGGTACTGACCAGGCTCGACGTTGCTTAACTTCAGTGATCGGTCAAGAACCGGTGTTTCAACGTGATACGGCCGTAAGCCTATCAATCGGGCTAAAACACAATAGTCACAGTAGGTTGCATTACTTATCATTTTTATAAGTATGAAACTGGCCACCTACTCTAATACTTACCTTCTATTGACATAAGCACAGTGACTTTAATCTAGAAGCCATGTGCAAATATTTGATTAGCAACCAAAATAAGAGTTAACGTGAATAAACTCTAAACTATCTACACAATTAATATTTTCCTATCAGTTAAATATTGATGACCTAAAAGTGTATTTCTGGAATTCTGTTTCGTATTTTTAAAACTAATCGACTGAAGAAACTCGTAAATGATTTCTTTTAAATATAATAACCACAGAGTGAGGTCAAATGAAATTTCCAGATTTGAATACAGAAGCAGAAATGTGAACATTTATGTTACAAATAATGTAAATTTTGTTAGTCAATGGACTGAAAGCAAATAGCAAATATGTTTCCAGAGGAAATTCTGAGATATAAATGTAGAACTTTTTGCCTTTATCTTAAGAATAGCGATAGCAGAGAAAATGTAAAAATTGATAACGTTTACTTCGGTATGAATTACGCCATTTATCGATGTATTTACTAAAACTAAATGTTTGTTTATTTTTTGTTTTTTTTATCTGATATCGATTCTCCAAAATTTTAAAAATTAAATAACGATTCTCGTGGTCATACCATGAACTGCCCGGAGAAAAAAAAAGAAATGAAAAGAAAACAGAAAAAAAAAAAAACAAAGTTTACCATTGTGATCAGGTATTCAAGTGTGCCTTTGAATAAAATGCGTGTTTTCTCCTCAAGGTTACTCTTTCTCATTCTCAATGAAGATATCTCTTTTCACCCACACTCTCACTTTATCCTCCCGTTTTTCTTTGTCTATTACACACATACGTGTGCGTATATATGTTCTTTCTCTATGAGTTTTTGTCCATGAACGAATATATATGTTGATATTCATACTATCAAGTGCGTCCGAAAGTCCCCAGTACACTTTTTGTTTTAAATACTAGATAAAGACACAGTATTAAACCGTGTTTGCTTTTGGTTTGGGTTTTGGGGTTTGTTTTTTTTTAAATAAAACCGCTGGAAAATTTCACACCCACATTATTTTTAAATCAATTCAACGTAAGTGTTGTAACCTAAGGTTACAGAATAGAATAATCAACGAAGGTTGTTAATGAACAATAACTTTGGATAAGAACAACACATATAAGATTCACCAGCGTTGCGTAGAAGTAGTCAACTATTAGAAGTGAGTCAAGTGAAACCCACATTGAATCTCCAACTGCAGGATATCTACCAACCGCCACACGCGGTCAGATGTGGCACAAGGCCGAATTTAAAGTGGCTCGGCCAAAAATTACCCGTATAAAATGAGTTCGGGTAGATGTTTCCCGAGATGAGACTCTGCCCTTCGACATAGCTTCGTCTGGGGATCCTCTCTGCCCGGAAGCAAAGAGTTTGACCAGCACAGCTGTAGACGAATCTCCAACTGCAGACTAACATACAGTATTTACTACTGTATTTATGTAAATGGAGACATATCCATTATCGTCCGTAGGTATGCTACAACACTAATCAAGGTGATAATGCCGCTAAGACGCAAGAGGTTACTGGAAGAAAGTGAAAGAAAAGGAAAGGCTTTAGAAGGAACCAGAAACCCAATCTTAAACAGGAAACAAGGGATAAACCTCTACCCCTGTACAAAAGACCGGGGAGGTATGCGAACCGGAGGATAGTTGAACTTATCTACTCCGATTGTAACAAATCAAGGCTAAATAGTCAGTAGGGCTGGGAACTTTTCACTTCAAATCGACGGACCGAGACGATTATACTTTTTTGAAAAAAAATCAACCCGGTTCATTCTCCTTCTGACCACACCTTCTACTCCCTAAAAATAATCATCCTAGTTTTCTCTTCTTTTTTTAATCGAAATATTTTGATTTCTAATCTCGATTCCATATCACAGTAATATACTCTTAAATTCTGGCATATTTATTTATTTACTTGCACAATTCTTATAATTATTTGCGTATATGTGTCTCTGTGTTTGTGTCAGTTTGTGTATGTATGTGTGTGTGAGAGAGAGAAAGATGGATAAATCAAGGCGTTAGTCACATAAATATTGATAAAAATTAGGCAAGAGTCTGTATCGAAAAGGTTATTTTTATTTTTTTGAATAAAACTATGATTGAAAACTTGTAAGGATGCTGTCTTCAGTAGTCTTTGAAAATCTTTATAACAACTAAAGAAATTTCACTGTTCTACGATGACTCGGTGTAAAATAATTTTCAATTGTTTCTTTAAAAATCATAAAGCATAGATAACTAGATTTACGACGCAAGGATACCAATGGATTTGCGGCCTATTCACCAACTCTTTTCACTCCGAGTTAGTTAAATGCATTATAATTACTGGCTTCTTAACAACGAACATCTAAAGATGTCCTATATAACTAGGTAATAATGATTTCAATTTTTTTTTAAATTAACTTTACTTTAATAAACAAATCAGTCTTCTTTTTGTCTCATTAATTTTTATTAATAGCAAATGAACTATTATTACCTGAAGCCATATTTATATCGAACATTTTACGAATCATTAGCCCATCAAAATTAATTAAATCTCGTATGGATTATACGCCTGAAATACGCTATAGAATGAATCGTTTAAAGTAATGAAGTTATCAAACGAAAATACAACGAGTCCAGTTGTCCGATCAAATCTTTCCTAATTGATGTTCGTCATCCAAAAAGAATTAATGTAAGGATATAACGATATGGTTTCACTCCGTTTGCTGCTCATTATTGATATATTATCCTAAGCTCTTTAGAAAATCATAAACCCGTAAATAATTACCTAAGTAAATAATAACCTCTCCACTTGGAGAGGTTATTACTTCTAATTCTTCTTTGGTTCACATTTTTTTCCACTGACATTACGTAGATTGATTGCTAAGTCTGCTGCTAGGAAAGTTGATTCACAGTGCCATGCCAGACAATTTCTCTCGTCAGAATCCATATTGCACATTTATGAATCTATTATTCGTCAATGCAGTGAATATTGCTGCCACATTAGATTTGATTCTCGTACTATATATCTCGAGATTCTTGAAAAAAATCAAAAGGTGGGTATGGAATGTAATCTTGATTTGACATCTCGACTTCAGTCACTTTATCATCAAAACTTGTTCTTTTATTGTCCTTTCTCCTCACTTTTTTAAAATCATTTCACCCCAAGACAAGCAATAAAGCCACTAAACTGCAACGGGGTTACTGAGTGTGAGAGAATATGAGAAAAAGAAAACATTATTAAGGAGAGAGAACAATAAAAGAACAAAAATTATGAAGACGGAAAAGACTTCTCATTCTCTTTCACTCCCAGCAATCTCTTGCATCCTAGTGGAATTCTCGCCTTACCTGGGTTAAATTTTTTTTTTTTAAACTCTCTTCCAGATTCTTGCTTTCCAATCAACTTGAGAACTTCAAACATTTAAATTCACTGTCAGTCGTTATGTTATCTCCTTAATTTTTGTCCTTTTAATGTTCCCTCTCCTTAATAATGTTTTTCATGAATCATTTCACACACATTAATCCCTTGTGTTTTAGTGATTTTATCGCCTTGCTTGGAGTGAAATGATTAAAAATGGGGAAAATGTATTGAAACTGCACTAGTTTCTGAATCTTCTACAGTATATTTACGTCTGGAATCACTCGACATATCTCCTTTACTCAGAAAAATACTGCTATGATAAACGTGTGATAATTAAAAACAATAACAAGGAAAAAAATAAAAAGAATAACTGAATGAAATAGGCAAAGTTATGCATCTAGATACACGATACATCAAAAATTTAAACCTAGAGCTGAGCGTCTCTGTATATTTAACATTTTCGATATAAAAATGCCGTTTGTTCTAATTAAAATCTTTGATACGGGCACTCCCGACTCGCCCGGAGATCTGTTGAAAAGGCTTCACATTGTGGAAGAAATTTAAACAAGCAGAACATATGAAAGTATTGAATGTGTGCAGGCTGCAATCAAAAGCAAATAGCGATGAAAATCTGGGGATGCCACGGTGTTTTCCGAAAAATGTTCAGCCATTTTGAATATCTCAGCTTCCCCTTCTTCATGCTTTAGCAAAAAAGTTTATAAAATCGCCATTGAAAAGGAGGAGATTTCCGAACATGAGCGAGATTAAGGAGAACTCGACGAAGCAGCTGATAACAATCATAACAATCTCTTCATGTCCAACTCAACTGTTGCAGATCCTAATCAGGAACAAGGAGCACTTCCCATCTAAGACATACAGGCAATTGTCACAACGTTACAGCATGCTACCTCACATATCCGGTCTCTACAAAATTCTCATAGACGGTATTCCGCTCAGGCCAATCGTTAACTGCCAAGACACTGTGTTCCACCATCAGAATCTCTTCCTTGTGGATATAATTGACCTAATAATCGGGAATTCACCATCATATGTCCGAAACTCCATCCACTTCGTGCAAATAATCAAAGATGCTTCCATCAGATGGTGAACCTGGACGTGGTATGTTTGTTCCCCATGGTGCCCACAGAGGAAGCACTATCGGTAGTCAGGGACTGACTGGCCTCGGACTCATTCCTAGGAGAAGGGACCAATAGATAACCTAATGGAGATGCAGATTTTCTGTACAAAAACACAGTTCGGAATGGGATTAGACAAGTATCGGCATGATGAAGGGTTAGCAATGGGCTCGCCATTATCATCAAGTAAATGGCTAACATACATGGAATAATTTGAACAAATGGAATTAAAATTCACATCACTAAAGTCAACTCTGTGGGTGAGATAAGTAGATGACACCTTCATATTCTGGCCACACCAGGAAGAGGTCCAGCTACTACTGGACCGTGTGAACTCAAAAAGATCTTCGATACAGTTCATAATAGTGAGAGAAAACAACAGCAAATTAGCATTCTTGGGTGTACTAACATCCCGAACAAAGCATGGACAACTTTCGCCGGAC